ATGATGGAATCGATCGAAGAAGCAACAATTTCGCCTTTCGCTCGCCATTAATCTCAAGAGATTAATTCTCTTAGAATCAAAGGCAAACAAGACCAGTGAAAAAAGGTGAAAGAATAGTATTTAACGAATTCTATTTTCAGCACAATGACTCAGTCTCTACGGTTTAAAAAATATCTCGCGTTTTTCGATTGCCCATAGTCGTTCAAAAGGTTGCATAATGAATCAACGCACCGCGGAGTCTTGATGTTATTAATCTTCTCGCGAGTTTTGAATGCATCAAGGAGACGATCTCGCAGCCGATCATTATTCCTCGTACAGTTAACTCAAATTGACCCGCAAAGAAAATGAGTCGAATAATGACAACGCATCGGGGGAGATCCTTGAACAATAAAATTGCCCGGTTGATCCGCGAAACGTTTACTTTTGTAACGTGAGAATGTCTCCTCTGTGGTTTCTATCAATTATTCTCAGTCTGTTAGGCTATAAATGGATGCAAGATTCATTAGCATTGGTCTTGGAGCAATTTCTACTTGTATTAGGAAGAAAGGCATCCTTTTAAAATTGCCTTGGAAATATTATTAACCAGCATAAAATAATTATAAATAAGTTTGACACGACCTCCATAGTAAATTATGAAAAGAAAATGCGAGGAGACATCGAATTAGACACGTAATTGTCCCATTTTCGCCGGTTCACAATTATAGTTGCAACCAGTTCAATTAGACAAATTAGTCTTAATAATCGTAAATCGTGCTACTTCCACGGCCAGCGGCCGCGACGTTTCTCTCGTTTCGCGAAAAATCATTCGACCCATCGAACAATTAGGAGTCAGAAAGTGCCAATAATTCGCGAGTTTAGTGACCGTTCGGAGAAACTAGGCTTTTACCGGATCCCCCATTGAAATTTATCGTTCATTCCTGATGGCTCGCCGCCGAACTGTTTCCGGTTCGTTAAACCGTCCGAAAGGAAGGTTCGTCGATGAAATTTCCACGAAGTTAAATCGTCGAGACGGATCGACGATCGATTCCAGCGACGACCTCGTTCTCACTCGTAAACCGTCTCGACGTTCCATTCTGAATCATTTCGTCGCACTGTCGATTTTATTTCCTCGAAACGGATCCTGAAATTTCATGGGCCACGATGCTCGACTGTTCGTTTTGAAATAAGAATAACAGTGCCTCGTTTGTCGGACGATTTTAATCCAGGTATCGAAGTAAATCTAATACTCCAAGCTGTAACTTGAAGATTTTCCTGGCGGATTGCATAATTATCGAGAACCCGCGATTTTCTCTGCTTAGAGAGTGATGAATTGTCGCGTTAAAACGCATAATTTACTCCATAGGAGGGAAAGGATTAATTGCGACACGGAGGATTCACAGAGTGGTTGGAAATTGTCTTCGGATAGACTTATTCGACGGTTACGTGCTTATTTTCGCTTTTGATCGATTCGTTCTTAGTGTTCCTTTAGGAACGATACACTACGATGAACATCGATGGAGAAACGGCTTTCGTGACTGAGCAACTGGTACTGTTGAGTTGTAATGTTTGTCCGAATGGCTTTACACCTGTCTCGTCCTAGATCTTTCGAACTCCATTTTAAACCGATTCTTTATTGGAACCGCGTTACTCAAACACCGATTCAATCGTGTTTTCCCGAGCACATCTATTCCGTTGCTGCAAAGCAACATTCACGGTACGATATACGAGCGATTTTGAACTATTAAATACATTTAACAATTGAATAATAAATAAAATAATAAAATTCGGTAAGTAGTTCACAGAACGCTTCCAAGTTATCACGATACTAGTCAGTTTCCGACGTCGAGACACGGATTCGAAATTATCGCTGGCACGTGAAATCAGCTGTCCATTGCACTGCACGATGAAATTATTAGTTGGCATGGAAAACTGATAGACGCAACGTTCGACGAAATAATCGAGTCGTGTGCCTTCTCGATCCATAATTCTGAAACATGCAATCCGTCGAGTCCGCGTTTCCTTAGCTTTCGTATTAATTCCAATACTCCTGAAGTCTTCTCTCGGTAAAAGACAGGCGAGTTTCTGATAATTATTCCATCGAAATAGCAAAACACTCTCCACATATATATATTATAAAATCTCTTCAGAAATAGTCTACTAATGAAATTAATTATGTCACTGTCTATCGTTTAAGGTTTGGATCGATGAATTAACTGTCGCTGCTTTTGGTCCAACGCGTTTTCTCTCGTTTCAGAAACAAAGTTGGATTGCTTTTGCGTAAAACTCGAGTTCACCGCGGTTTGCCAAGAAGAGATAAACAACGACATCGACAATAAACAACGACCGTCCTCATTTGGTTTGCTAATTCCTCCCGTCGAGATAATCGAGCCGCGTACGGGGAACACGTGGAACTCGGAAAGTAAAAGCGTAGCGAGACGCGCGAAACACGTTGTGCAAGGCGAGAAGCGAAATAATTTCGGGTTGCCCTCGGTTTCGTTGGGAAAAAGCGCGAGGAAAATTCGCTTGCACCGCGATACCGTTGTCCGTCGAACGTCCTACCTCTCGCAATCGTTGCCATTATTGCGACAGAAGTGTATCGTTCCGTGACAGAGCAGAAGTAAATCGAATTAAAGATCGAGGGAACGCACGGACAATATAAATGATTTAATGGACCGAGCGATAAATATTCATAACGAGGTTACGCGACCCTTCTGATCGAGCCTTGGTATCCGGAGATCGTTGCTCGAACGCCCTTTCGATCATTTTAATACTCGTCAGTGCTTTGTAACAAACTTTATAAAACCTGTTTTGGCATTTGAATTTTTATAACTCGGATTTCGACTTATTTTTGGACTTCTCTACAAACTTAAAATCAAGGTAAAATCTAGTAGAGTTGAACAACAGTCACGGAATCGATTCTATTTCTCTAATCGACGTTACTAATCGCTCAGGTATCCAAGAGTTACTCTATATATTCGCTTCTCTCCGCAACGTTCCCTCGAAATCTATATATACCCGTATCCGTCATGAATCATCGTGCTGACGCAAAAGTTATTGTGATTCAGAACTCCTATCAACGAAAGTAAGCAATTACCAGTTTCCTAGATCGTTGTGGGAAGTAGATTTCTCGGGGATGTTTTACGAACGATAATGGTGTGAAACACAACGTGAATTGGTTTTTAACGAACACCGTGTCTCGTGCAAAACAATCCCCATGATGGGAGGACAGGTTATTCACTATGGAAATTAAACGTTGCGCTGGAGATTTATGGCCGCGATGGAAACGAGATTTCAGCAGTTTATGATACAGTAATTACGATAATGTGTTCATTAGCCACTCTTCGTAATGGTGACCGCATACAATGGAAATTGCAGTTTCTAGTGTACCGTGCGCGAGAAGTTGGCTAGTACTTCGCTCGCCCCGCCCATCTTTCGTCGTTTCGACCAATCAGACGCGCATTCCTCTCGCTAGCCAACTTCTCGCGGACACACAATACAATGATGTTTGTAACAAGGAGGCACACAGTTTGGATTATACGTACGTTCGCCATAACTTCAAACGACAATACGCCGCGGGCCAAGAAGCTTCTAGGATTAGCATACAAATAAATTTAATGGCCGCGGAGAGAAGAGAGGCGTTAGAAATCCTTTCAAGGTCCGACTTTCTAATTCCTCCGGCGTTTTGGCCGTTCGTTACGTTCGCCGGTCGAAACGCGCCGGTTTACAGGGAACGAACTGGTTCGCGTAGGAAAAACGACCCTAAATCGTGCGACTTTTATTACATAAAACGCACGAGGGGGTCAAAGTGGCCGCCATTGGTGACTTAATGGACCGGCGAGTCGGTTTAAAAGTGAAACGTTCCCGAAAGAGAGCGAGCGTGTTTTGCCAACGAAAGTTACAGTAATTGGATCCTTTCGTTATTAATATCGTAACTTTGTTTCGCTTTATAGCTGCTTCGAAACGCAAGGAAACGGCCCCAAAGTACCGAGAACCCGGAACTAGCGGATATTAACACCTTATTAACGGTTTTAATGTCGCGGTCGTAAACGCTGAACACCGGTTACCATAAACCCAGAAACTTTATTGCTCGTTGCTGGTCATCGATTAATTTTATTCGAATTAGGTTCCATTTCCCTGGCTCGCGAGAACCTATATCAACGTCCACTTTTCTTTTCTCCCGAGACAGTTCTCTTATCGATCCGAAGTAGCGAACTCGAACGATGCTTGAACCCGGCAATTAGGGTAATTGCACTGGTAGTTGGCAGCGGGTAGTTTTCAGTGGTAAAAAAATTGTAAAAGTCACTATTATAAGGTGTCAATTCTAACGAAACACGGTTTGGTGACAGGTTCGGTCGGCTGTCAGTTCCTACTCAAAAATACAGAGATAAATAGTAGCTTACTTTTCTTGCACGTGTTTAATTGTACTTTGAATTAAAATACCATGTTAGTTCGGTTCTTGAAAATAATGGGTTCGTTTTACGATACGTGCCGCCTACTCTCTTAGCGTGTTTCTCACAGAAAGTGTCAACCAGACTGCAACTTTCGTTGGTTTAACCAACCATTGAAACAATTTTTAAACTCGAGTACAAATTAGATAATGCTTTTGTATTCGTTCTCGATGAAAGTAATTTAATCACCGTGAAGATGTAAACGTCGAGAGGAAGACTAATGGGTTTTTAACGAACGTTTCCACTTTCGTTCGAGATTCAGAAATTTCGATAAGCGTTGAACATGAAATGTAACGATAAAAATAAGAATAAAAATCCAAAACTTGACCACGCGTTGCGTGCCACTTTAAAATTACGGTATTCGTAGCGATTTCAAAATCGGCTCGTGCCGTGACGCACATGCTCTACCGGTGACATTTATGGAGACTCGACCACATTGATCGTATCGGATATCCATATTTTTTTCGTGACACCGTGGAATGTCATTAATCGCTGACAAATGTTGAGCACCGAGCCCCCGTTTGTCCGTCGGCGTGGAATCGACTAACGAGCCGGTCGTTATTTCGTTTTCAGCAAGAACCGAGGCCGGAGCTGGACGTCAGCAACGGAAGCAGCAACGGCGGTAGACCGAGATTCGTGCCTGTCACGGCTCTCGAGGACGTGCAGGCTGTCCGGTGCGCCGAATTTCACCCCCATGGGAAACTCTACGCCGTGGGATCGAACTCCAAGACCCTTAGAATATGCTCCTATCCAAAGCTCCACGATGTCAGGTGAGAATAAATCTTTTTAGCAGAGTCAGTGCGTTGATAGATACTATTTTATGATTACAATCACTTTTGGTGAACAGACATTCCCCTGAAATTCTACACACTTTCGAGAAAAAAATTTATTACTCAAAATCTAATGTGGAGTTCCCCCAAATTTCGTGGCGACTCTTTGAAACATCATAACTTCTGAACGGATTGAAGGATTTTAATGTTTCAAAGTGCAAACGACGCGTATTTTAGTGAAGAATATATAGAAATTCTAACAATCTTGAAAAAGTTGTTCCTTGACCCCGTAAAGTGAGAAAACCCCCATAAAAGTGATCCAATTTTCAAACGTCCATAACTCCTATAATAGTGAGCGTATCTCATTGAAATTTAGTAGGGAAGTAGAGCTCATGGATACCTACAGAAAAGTATTAAACAACCTTTCTGTACCAGCCAACCAAAATTACTAGAAATCAAGAATGAATTTTTAAGAAAAATCGACAGGGGGTAGGTGCTTAAATTTCTCGACGAAAAAAAAAATTTCAACTCGTTCTAAAAAAATTATTTTCAGTTGCAAAGGTCAATTATAATCATTTTTGGTTATTAGACATACCCCCGAAATCCTACCTACTTTCGAGGAAAAAATTCGAGTATGTAGACAAATTTTTCGACAAAATTGAAAAATTTAAAATCATTCTAAAAAAATTATTTTCGTTTATGGGGGTCAATTACAATCATTTTTAGATAATATAGTGTAAAACTTACTCCATCGGTTATATAAACTTAACGTTCTATTTCCTTACTCCGACACACTTGACTCTCCGTTGTGCATGGTGAAGGTTTTACTTCCTACATTTATTTCTTTTCGCCTGGAATATATAATTTATGCTGCAATTCTCACCTTCTCGGGATCCTATCTCAAAGTCGATCAGATTCTGTATCTCTATTGTGCTCCAATTTCTGACTGCTCGTAAGTTCTAACTCGAAGCTGCTGTTATCAGGAAATCTAACGCACCGGATGCAGAGATTTCTGATTTTACGTTCACCGATCACCACTGACACTCGATCTACCACGCGACCTGCAGCGATTTCATTACGGTTCGCGTTTCTGACAGTTCCTTTCGCGCTGATTGCCAACGGGAATCGCGAAAAAAGTCTCCTCAGCCACCGACATACGCTTTCATACGTTTCCGGCAAGAATCGGCCCAGATCAAAAGGCAGAAAGCCGTTTTTGCGTCGAGTCACGATCGAAATTTTAAATAACGAAGACAAATGCATTAGGATCGAACGAAATTTTATGGAAAGATTTAAGATATAATATTGCAAGATAAAACCCCTATAAAAAGTACCAAAGCAAATCCTTTAAGCGTGAATACGTATATCAACGTGTTCGACTCGGTTTCCAATACTAACAATTAAAACTTTTATTTTATTTTCCTTTCTCCGTTATTGCTGCGTTAAATTTATTGGATTGCACACGACGGGTGCAATCTTCGTGATAAGTAGGTCGAACGAGTTTATATTTGAAAACTAGCAACCATAGGCGCCGCGCTTACGAACCTCCTAACTCAACGTTTAGACAGAATACTTCGTAGCAGAGATCCTTGTCGTGAAATCAGAAAAGTGTTAATCGAACAAAAAGTAGAGCGGTCTAGCAACGTTGTGAAAATTTATGGCGACAGAACACGCGTTAAGCTGTCGTTCGTCGTTCCTTTTCGTTCGAAATGCTGCAATAATTTATCGTTCGCGATTACTCGTTATTACTCGTTAATTATTCACATCCTTTAAAATTCTGACTAGAAAAAGTCAAAGTATTCGATTTATGAAGCACCCTTATCGTAGCTCCGCCATATCGAGTTTAATATTCAAAAGTGGAATTAAAAGATTGCTGGCTCCAACGATAGCGATTCTAATTATCGGGATTACTTTTCGAGAATCAATTCTAAACGCAATTATAAAGTGATTAATTACTGGCCAGCTCTGTTGTCGAGGCACATTTTGCGCCGACCGGACTAATTTTACGCAAGCGTGCTGACTTAACGAACGGCGAAGGCCTTCATACCAAACGGAGCATTCCTGAATACACGAGCATCGCGTATGCTCCTGGCGATTCTTTTATTGCTCGCCACCGCGATTCCAACGAAACCATCTTCCTCTTTCGTTATCTTAAACAGGTTTCGAGCGATGTTACCTCCGAACCGTGAAGTCGTCATCCCCCGTGGCTGCACTTTGCCTGGCCTTTGCTTCTATTCCTAAGTAACGAGACTTCTTTCCTATCGCGATACTCGATAAGCCACTGTCGCGTGTTAATGGACTTGGCACATAAATGTCAGACCACGTTGAATTAAGATTAACTCGATCCAAAGAAATTTATTGGAAAATCTAGACACCGTTTTTTGCGACTAATACTCGGCACACTCGTTACGTTTGATCAAGAACGAAAGGAATCAGCAAATAGAATTACGTTCGGGTAAATTGAAAACCGATCCTTGATGAATCTGCCATGTTCCATCAAAGTGACAAATGGTAAAACAAAAGTGAATTTCGTGAAAGTTACTGCCAGAAGGTCTTTATATTTTTACTCATTTCTAATTGATTTAAACGTAAGATATTTTTTATTTTGATATGGAACAATTTTCTTGTAGGATTCTTTATAACCGGACGTAGAATGAAGTAACTGGAAGTTTTTACAGTTATGTGGTTTCTAGTCGAAAGGGAAAGGGAACACGCGTGCGATCAGATCGTAAATCACGAACGGACATATAATTATGTGTGTTATTTTTCGGAATTAGGCGTCCGCAAAAAAAGAAAGTAATTTTCGTTATTCTATCTAACGGTACGTATCTGCAAATTGTGCAATCCTACCGACGCGAGAACGAATAGCGTGGAAGTATGATATTGAAAACCCTTTTGACAGAAGATCAGATATGATCGAGTGCTTGTACACCCCGTCGAAATTATGACGGATATGATCTCTGCTTTTACGATAGCCATAAATAAAATGACGTGCTTTCCAACACGAGGCGCGTTACATTTAAAATTAATATTTACGTCGAGGTGAAAGTCCTGGACTGATGGCGGAACGAGGCAGACTTACGATCAGGATTATTGTAATTTTCGACAAAGGTATCAATCCGATGCAATATGAGATAATTGAAAGGTAAAATCCAATTCCAGTCGGTCTTTTCCGTTCTTGAGATCAGAAGTTGCAACAGACTGTGTACAGTTCGTTCGTTAAAATTCTTTTCAGTGTTGGCTTTAGGTATCGAATCGATGGTAAATAATAGTGATCGCGACGTACGTAAATTTCTATCGTGCACAGCTCTTAAATTGCAGGAAGTGATTTTTTGTAACGCGCGGTTACGCCAGAAACGGGCGTCAAAGGCAAGGTTCCCGCGGACTCCGCCATTAAAACGTCGAGTCGCTCAATTACGATCTATTGGAAATCGTTTGTCTTGTCTGGAAGCTGAGATCGAACTTACGGTTGGTTAATGCCAACCTTCGAGAAATCGATCGCTCGAACGATCGTTTTTCCTCCCTCGACGCGGTAAACGAGATCGACACGAGTATATTCACTGGCTTATCTTTTCGTGGTCGACCACAATCGTTAAGGAAACTACGAGGGAAAACGCCGAGGAATCGGATAGATCAGCAAGTTAAATAATGATCCCTGGGCACGATTGGGTCGTCGATTTATGGCAACCGTCCACGAAAATTCTTTATAGCGGTACGACTACTATTTGACGTTTCCATTTTCCTTAAAAAAAACGTTGGATTCACTCTGTAACTTCACATTTAAGGAAAAAAGAAAATTTAACTCAAACTTATCGAATATAGAAATTTTCTTTTTTTTTTGCAAGGTTCCAAAAAATTTGAATAAAATCTATTGTACTAAAAATTGCAAAACACTTTTGAAAATTGATCAGATATGCTTGCAATTGACTGATCGCGAGTGGAATCGTCGAACAGAGAGACAAAGCGTCCCTGTCGAATGGAACGAGGTTCGGACCGCGAGAAATCCGTCGTTTTGGATTCATCCATCAAGTTATTCGTGTTTTCCTACTCTTGCCTACGCGCGGTCTTTGCAACGACGACCGTTTCATTCCATTCCCGTGTAAATTGGCTCCGTGGAACGCGATAAACGCGCGGTCGCCTGACAGCGAGTGATTGATAAGCGAGAGAGTGGCTCTTCATTTGTCGCCGAGCGTCTCGTGGAACTGTATCGCCAAGCCCAACGGTTCGTTGTTTGCTTCTCGGCGACGTTCGCACTCTTACCTGTCAACTTTCGAAAAAACGAGGATCGTCGAAAATTGCTGGCCGCGACCAACGACAACCGGGGATCCCCGCCTCGGAAATTGCACGTCGATAGGAGTTACTTTGATCTCGTTTTAATCGTTTACGCGTTAGAAATTCGCTTCTCCAACGTGTTTTATTCATTTGTTTTACGCATTCGGCGCACGCGCGTGTAACGATGATCTATAGAAAAAATAAAGATTCGTAGAAAGTACACGCGTAGCAATAAAAAAGTGAGGAATGAGATTTAAAGCGTATAAGGAGCGAAAGTGCAGTATAAATATTGCTTGAAATTTGATATTTCTACTTGAAGTTTAGACACAAACTTCTTATCCGAATTAACTCGGTGGGAATTAAGCTGTTAAGAATAGGAAAACACGCTGAGCGCCAAAGACTCGTTAGATGGATTTTTATAAGGCAAGTGAAAGGTGAATATTAGATTTTCCGATGGCTATCTTCCCTCGAAGTAATTAAGATCGCCGATGTTTTTCAAGTAGAATTATATGCTTTTTCTTTTACGTAGAACTAGAGATATTATCTGAATTCGTAAATCCATTTGGACACTTTTACATTATATACGATTAACAAGATTGGATTTTCCAGCGATATCTTTAATGATAATCTTTACAAGCGTGAAATTCCAAAGCTAATCGTATTTTCTCCGTAATTATGCTATCGTTAGAACCGCCAAAGCTTCCCCTTTAAAATGGTTGTTGGTTTATATGGATTCGACTTTCCGTTTTGGAGATATCGTAATTTAAATGAAGGGGTAATTTTTAGGTCTATCACAGCGTATTAAAAATACTAAAACTTTAGACGCGTGCAGTTCCGAAACTACTAGTGTTTCATCCATTATTGAGCCACCGTTGGCAGCGGTGAAGCTTCCTCTTTGTAATGGTTTTTGTTTTATATGGATTCGACTTTCCGTTTTCGAGATATCGTAATTTATGTAAAAGGTAATTTTTCTTAACTCGACTATCTCTGTCTTCGTCTGACGCGTCGGACCTCTCACTCGCACGTGCGTCGTGTTGACCTACCCTACGAACGTGACTGTCGTGACCTAGTTCCGCGTAGTGTTTCCAAGAATTTACTACGCGCTACTATGAAGGCACGCGCGGTCATTCACCTCGCGTCAATGAAACGTAAACAAACGCTTCGGACCCTTGTATCTCCGGAACTAATAAAGCTATCGACTTTTTCGACCGCTCGTTTTAAAGGGCATTTCATCCCCTACCTAATGATCATATCACCTACTATAATTTTTGCTATCTTCTATGTTTATTTTGATATTTACTTTGACGCTACATACCCAAAGAGGTTTCAACAATTCCTATCGATTATACGACTGGTGTGCGATGAAATTCGATTATAAGTCGATCATTTAATTGAAAATTAATTTATATTTGTGTACAGGATGTTTGTGTAATTACTATCTTTGACTTGAAAAAAAATTCGTTTTCAAGGGCGTTTTATCTTCTATACTATATAAAAATCAATTGTTCAAAAGGCTTAACGTATCACTTGTGTTGATTGACCATTGTTTACTCTTCTTGTCGAGTAGCATAAGTCCTCAAATTCTTGAAACACTTTTCTTTAACACCCTGAATATCTCTCAGGAATAAATCGTTTATAAAATGGTCCTCCAGCTCGTTATTAATGTACTCTCTTCCAATTTTTCTCTAATATTTTATATTTTCATTGATTTCACTCTTAAGGCGATTTCTTCCGGTGGTGGCGTTAATCGTTCGCCGCGCAGGGAAAGTAAAATAGATCGATTCTAATGAAACTAGAGCCGATCTAGAACTCCTCCGGAACGCGATCGTGGCTGACCAATAATTTTGATCACGCGATGCTCGCGTTTCCACGGAAGAAAGCGATCGAATGGCCAGAAATCGCGAGAAAGAACGATCGCTGCAGGCTCGATCGACGAACGGGATCCGCCGCTCCGGCTGGGAAAACTCGCGGCTAATTAAATTCTACGCAAAAACGAGCAGCCGGTGTGAAAGCGGCGTTGCTTCTCTTTAAAGTCCTATCGACGATCCTCTCCCTCGTTTCCACGGCCGAAACGCGATCCCCCGTTGCCTGCTCGCATCCTCCGTGTTTTAATTAGGGCCGAGGCGCAGCCACGGCGACCTGGGAACGTCACAGAAATCGAGGCTGATGGAAAGCAACGCATGAGAAACGACCGGGGTTCTCTTTGCGCGGGAGAGATCGACGCCAGTGAAACTGTTTTGGCCGGCAAAGTTGCGTTTTAATAAATACCAACTCGAAAGAAATCGAAAATGGTGGAAGTAAAAATACTATATTATAAATTTGAACATTGAGCAACGTTGAAAGCTGTGATGATAAAACTGTAACCTGTCATCCGCGCGCCGAATTAATAGCTCTGTTCTTCTGCGGTTGGTTTTGCAATTCTACAGGATGAAGTTCCACTTAAACGGATTCCTTTCTTGTAATATCCGCGATGAGTTTGATTAAATCTTTTAACACACGTGTCAGCCACGATCCATAACAAGTAAGTTATGAGCGTAAGGCACGTCGCAAAGAAACGACGCCCGGGTCGCACTGTCTTCGTCGCTAAGTGCATCGTAAATTCATGGTAAATATTGCTTGTTCTTACGAAAAAACTTGCAACCGACGAAGACGGTGCATCCGATGACGGCTTTTCTTCGCGACATTCCACGCATTCTTGGACTAGTTGTTATGGATCTCGGCTGACACATACGTTACAAGATTGGATCAATCTCGACGTGGATATTGTCGATAACGCGACAAGAACGGAATTCCGACCCGCTTGTAAAAGTTATGATGTTCTTTCTCGACACATCGATAACACGTTTCTGTAGAACTTCATACTGTGTACAGTTATTCCCTGAATTACGTAAAGATATAATACTTGCTGTATAATTCACAGTGAAAACGTACGAAATCAATTTTTACAGGATAATACATATTTTTGTGTGATTTTCATACGCTTAGCAATTGTCACCGTGCTTTTTAGTTTTCGTAATGTATGCCCGCTTTCCTTCTTTAATGATATGGTTTTCTTAGAAACTTTGACTCGTGAAAAATATAGCAACATTGTATTAATCATTTCCGAGTTACGTAAAATTTACTTACGTATGGATCTTCGGAAAACATATCTCTTACGTAAGCAGAGGGGTGACCGTAATTACAAAATCGAACGGTGAGAAGGACTAGGCTATTAATTTGACACACCAATGATAGATTACAGTCACGTAATGATGGTCTTTAGCACAAGTTTCTACGTATGATTTTACACTGTTTATTAATGTAACGTTTTTACGGTCGTCACTTTGACGTAATCGCTTGAACCGAGGATAATTTAAATTTATAATAACAACGAACTTGTTTATTACCAAAAATAACAAAAATCGAACCATTTAGGTAACGTAATTTATACTGTGCTTGATCAGCTATTTTTAGGATTTATTTTTCATAACAAGCTATATTCACCACCGATTTATATTAATAACTGGTAGAATTTTTCTGTGTATAGTAGCTGGAAACTACTTTTGACTGTTTCCACGATTATCTATCGCATAACTTAATAGCTAATAGCAATAAAAGATGGGTTTCAATTTTTCACAATTCCTTACAATATCCAGATTCTGGATTAAAAATTCTGCACAGTAGTTCATTAGATTCACTAATTATCCAGATAAAATTGCACTCGTTCAACGCGAAATATAGTTTTATCGTACAATTTAGATCGTAATTTTGATCGAACGAATAACTGGTCGATTTCGCAGGTGAAAACTTTTCCCGTTGCTCTGGAATTATCTTCCATTAATTTACCTTGAAATTTGTGGTATCGAGATGGAAAGTCGAGTCGAAAAGCAAGAAAAAGTGAAACAATTCGCGGGCAGGCTGGCCGACGCGAGGTCGTTGCGTGATTCCGTTTAGTTGTTTTAGCGATAGTTGCTCGGTGGAATGGAACAAACGTTGCTCGATCGTCGATCGAAAAAGCAATGTTATGCCAGAAAACCGTTAACGTCTATTGGATTTTCTTTTGCAGGGAGGATCATCAGACGTATCAGCCCACGGTTCTCTTCAAGAGAACGAAACACCACAAGGGCTCGATATATTGCCTCGCATGGACGCCAGATGGGCAGCTGATGGCAACCGGAAGTAACGACAAGACTGTCAAACTGATGCGTTTCAACGCAGACACGTCGAATCTCGAAGGTAAAGAAACGTTCCAACACTGATTCAGCAAAGTCTTTAACACGATCGACTGTCAAACTGATTGTAAAAAAATTTCCCTGAGAAGTCCTGCGATTTTGTATTTACCATTTAATCACGACAACCTTGATTAACACGATCCCGATACACCTGTAAGACTTTGCTCTTTGCTTCGAAAATTGTAACACCGTGAAGGAACCAGCTATTTGACACGCTGTTATTTATTGTAACTTTCGTACGACCGCTCGACGTTAAACGCTGATATCACGAAAGAGTGTTACGCGTAGCAGCATGACTCGTGGTACGTGTCCGTTACGATGGAATAATCAGCGATTAAGTAATCACGATTCAGCGCAACGTAAAGGTAGCAATACACGCGACACATTTCTACGGGCGCTAGCATGCAGAATTCTACCACTTCCCCTACTCGTAATTATCCAACGCGAAAGGTAATATGTACTTTAGAATAACGAGACCGTCATGACCTCACAAAATTACAAGCGCCAAGTTCTCGCAGGCACGTTTCGGGACGGTCGTTAATTTTCAACAATTTCCTACTCGTCGCTGAAATTGTTTCGCGCGATCCTTACGTAATAAAATTTCTTCAAAAATCTCTCTTAACGACACTTTCTTGGTCAAGTTACTTTTCGACTCGAATGTTATTTTTAACGAGCAATATAAAATACACTCTTACAGTAGAAGGTAGATATTACGAAACTGTGAAACAAATGACCAAAAACGCACAATAAACGCCTAGTCTTGTCCCAATTATAATTAGAAAATTGAATTCAATGAAAAGGACGTTCTTATCAAAGAATTTTTGTATAGAATGGGTCCCACGTCCGAATTTTGCAGTTGGTCCTTAAAAATTTGTAGGTCGGGTCTTCATAACCGTACGTTTGTTTTAGGTCAAGAGGTCGAGCTTACGATGCACGACGGCACAGTGCGCGATTTATGCTTCCTCGAAGACACCTCAAACAAGTCGAGTTTGTTGATCAGTGGAGGCGCTGGTGATTGCAAGATATACGTCACCGATTGCGCGACGGGAACACCCTTCCAGGCTCTGAGCGGTCACAGTGGCCACGTTCTCACCCTCTACAACTGGGGTGGAGCGATGTTCGTGAGCGGGTCGCAAGACAAAACCGTCAGATTTTGGGATCTGAGAACGAGGGGGTGCGTCAATATGGTCACACCGGCGACAGTACCTGGCAGCAGGGTTAGTTTAGCTCCCTCTAAAGTACATCATGATTCCTTACTCTCCAACGTAACTAATCGCCAAGTGGTACGAATGCAGTTTCGTAAATAATTGTAATAGTTAATATTTAACTTACCTCGACTCAACGTGAAACATCGTTTTTCAAAGGGTGAAAAGAAAAGATGTTCTTTAATAATTTTTTGCAAGATCTACGCACACGCGAATAATTAGAGATTTTAACCTAAGATCGTGGAGCATATTTACTACCCTTAGAAAATTTTTAATATCGAAGATACGAATACCTAAGCAAAAGGTGTTTTCAATTTGGTACCACTTGGTCTCTCAGTCTTTTAGATCAGGCTTGTTCACGATAATGGAGACAAATTGGCCTTAATGTAACGAAGTAAGTGTAATTGCCTCTGCGGCGTCGAGGTTGCGACTCTTGGTTTCGTTTCTAGAAAATGAACGGAGCAAACGTAGCCCCAGCTGTGTTCTAGATCTCTGAAACAACTTTCAGACGATGATACGCGTTTCAATGAAGTCAATTGTTAATGTCATTACTTGACCTTGAAGTACTTTGTATGGATAGGAGATTTAAGTGACTCCCCAAACAAATGGATATAGAATATTTCACGAGAAACATTTTTGAATATCTTTCGTAATTTAAGAGGCATTTATAAAATGGTTGGCTCCGACAGGCGAGGTGATTTCTCCTTTAGCCTTAATCCTACCAGGATGTCACGAACCAAGTTTAAGTATAACATTTTATGTAGCATTGAATTAAATTTTATTACTATGAAATATGCTTACTGATTTTATAGTTGCAAAATGTACTACGTTAGTTTCAGAGTCGACCAAAATTTATATAAAGTTTTGTTAAAATTGGCGATGATTCTTTATTAGGAGAGAACAGAAACGTTAGATTACATCCGTGAACAGGCCTGTTTTAGATAGTTATCATCGTTTGTCGAGAAGAGTATAACTGGATCTTGGAAACAGATCCATTTATTCCCTGCTCGGTTAAAGCTTTCTTCCTGCCATCGGTCCAGGTTGCAGGAGTCCTTTCTAATTCAATTTGTAATCCTCAGAATGCAATCTAATATACATAGCACAGGGAACAGGACATTGCATCGCAAGTATCTGTGATTATCGTTCTCGAAACAGCATTGAAAGGATTGCTGTAATTTGAAATATATAATGCTTGTTATTATAGAAAATTAATCCAAATAATTCGCGACTGTACATAGTTTTGATCCTCTGCAAATGTTCATTCTTCGTTTAACTTTTACCAATCAAAATAATTTCGTAATTCTAAAGTACACAGTAACAGTAACAGTTGGTTCCAATATAAACAAGATAGCAAACTTTTAACTTGAGCATCATACACGTTTTTTGCATTCCATCTATTATTATAATTCTCCACCTACGTGCTCGCTGCCACGATTTTAATTAGAATCTAATTATACGAGCGTGTTCAAGTTTCCTCTCGCGAATTCTTTAAAGGCTAATTATACGCAATTTTGAATCGTCCAGGGTAACTGAACTTTCAAGTGGAGGATCAAAAATCTAACTGGAACCACGAACGATTTGGATTAGATTTTCGTAATTAACGGCGCATCCAGCATGCACCGACGACATCGAATTTTTGTTCTTTGGGTTTCGTTTTTAGCTCGACGTCCGATAAACCTTCGACCCACGTTTTTAAATCGCACCGATCATACCTCCTGTTCACCAGTCACACATTCCACATCTTTCTGTCTGTCTCTCTCTCTCAGGATCGAACTTTTATCGGACGTCCTACGAATCAATGTAGAACGGAATCAGTATCGCGTGTCTGAGCAGCATTTGATACCGTTGCAGGTCGGCAGCCCGGTGGCGGCGCTATGCGTCGATCCTTCTGGACGTCTTTTGGTCTCCGGACACGAGGACAGTAGCTGCGTTCTGTTCGACATCCGGGGCGGCAGAACCGTACAATGTTTCAAACCGCACGCCGCCGACATCAGGAGCATACGTTTCTCACCTTCCGCGTACTACCTGCTCACCGGTGGTTACGATAACAAGCTCGTCCTCACGGACCTTCAAGGTCAGTCACCATAAACCACAAACCATCCTAATTTTCCTCTAGAGATTCCCAAATCTTCAAAAAACCTAAAACTCCTCGAGTCATACAGGTTTCAAGAATACAACATCCTTCGTAAACTAATCTTTCTTTGAATTACGTTTTCGAATAATAGAACGACATTGCTTTTTACTACATCTCACACTTTACCTCTAAGGTCAGTCACCATAAGCATAAACCATCGTAATTTTCCTCTAGAGACTCCCAATTCTTCAAAAATCCTAAAACTCCTCGAGTTATGTAGATTTCAAGGATGCAATCTTTCTTTAAATTATGTTTTCGAATAATAGAACAACATTGCTTCTCACTACATCTTACTACGAGCGTCGCAAATAGGGTCAACACGTTTAAAATATGTTTACACATAACTTTCTACTGTTTAATAGTCCGACCCATCGAAGAAAATTCCAGTAAAGTTCGCTAATGACATTATAATGGATTCGCGAACGACAGTCTCTCCCGAATCGCCCTGCAGCACCAACGATTGTTCTATTCGGGCATTAATTAATCCATAAATTGCCAAACTTAAAGGAGGAGACTCATGTTAAATGGTAAAACGAGAAGTGATATTTGACAATTTTATTACAGCATAAGGGTTTGATGAAACTTTTCGCCACTTTCCACGTATATTCCTTAACGTTTCAAGGTACAAATTGTTTTTTTTCGTTACGTTTCATCAACTTTGGATGAAATAATAAATGTTATTCCTTATGTCGACGGTGTTGATCTACGTGCACTCTAGCATTTTTTTTCTTTGATGTTGAAAAAATGGAAAATTGTCGAAGATACATGGCTCTGAGCACAAAGAAATGATTCTTACATTTTTGTCAAAATCAATTATCAAATACCGCTTCTCGTTTTATCATTTTACATGAGTCTTCTCTCCCCTTAAGAATCACTGCGATTTTCTCGAAACACACGAAAACGTGGAATCGGAGATGTGTAATTATCTCGTGTAAGTTATTGTTGGTTAGGTCAGGATATCATTTTATGACTCGAATTCTATTATTTTATTCTACCAATTGCGAAGCAATTTTTATTTTTCTTATAAGTTTGTTCGTATGTTTGCAGGTGATTTGACGATGCCCTTGCCTAGCGTGGTGGTCGCCCAACACCAGGACAAAGTAATCTCCGGACGATGGCACCCGACGGAATTCTCGTTCCTCAGTACCTCGGCTGACAAAACAGCGACCCTGTGGGCTTTGCCACCGGTCTAGGACGCTGAACGCCGTTCGCTCGTCATTCGCGCTCATCGTTTTCATTTTTAAGACGGTTGCGATCGTTCGTTTCTCTATTCTGATCCCGACGAATCCTCACGACCCCTTTTTTTATACACGCGAAAAGAGAAGCAATTGCGTACCTTAACAACGCCACCGGCAACTTTAACGGCCTCCAGAAAGGTCATTGGAACTTTCTCAAGTAAAAAATACTCGCATTTCACTATTAGTTTTTAAAATATAACGCACGCCCTCGCGAGTGTGAATCTATGGCTCACGCGAGGGTCGGGTCGCCCGTAGCTAGAAGCATTTCCTAGGAAGAACCTCTCGAATAAGTAATTATAATTTATTTTGAACGTGCAATCACGAAGAATAAACGATTTTAAGTTTTAAATAATTACATATTAAAAACCAGAAGCGAGTAACGAATATTATTTACTCCGGGACGCCGAGTGACGTAACCAACGACCGGAGAAGAGTTTCATTGCAATAATAAGTGACGAACGAAAACACCGTGTAATTTAGATTCTAAACTTTTGTCTAGTTAAGAAATTTGCACGTTTCTCTGTACATGATGCGGGGTCGTTAAAATCCGTCGATGGCTGGTCGGTAAAGTGTATAATTAACGGAGTAGGAAACGCGTGGCTAAATTTTCGCCGTGGATCGCGAGGTACACGCGATACATTTTTATCGGAGGGAAATTAGAAATCCTTTTGCCGGAAACACGCCGGACGAGCGTCGAAGACGAGAACGAGCGATCGCGAGCGATATCGACGTAACACACAAACGGGAAGAAAGTTTCATGTATTCGCGTATAATTCAACCATGACCAATTAAAGCTTCCTGAAATCTCGCGGGTACGCGCGAACGTGGCGGAAAGTGTAATCGGATGCAACGCGTGACGTGCAACTCGCGATAACAATTACAGCCACGCGGGGAGAGAGAGAGAGAGAAATATATAGTAACGTATTACTCTGAGCAAATGTTACACGCTTCGGGAGTCTCGAAGGGCAAGAATGAAAGTGCATTTTCGCGTAGACGACGTCGATCGTGATGTTCGATCATTTATCGACAGTCTGGTAGGAATCATAAGACTGCGGAAGAAACCGGAAGTCCGTCTCACGGGACGGTAGTTCGATCGTTTGAATCGTTTGCGAGCATCGTGGCTTTCGAACCAACCAATTGGGTTCGAACAGTTTTCTCGTAGATTCGCGGTGTACGTCTTCATTTTTTTTTTTTTTTTTGTATTCCTTTTTTTTTATATAGAATTTCTTCGCGATCGTGTTTGCCCCCGATGTACATACGTTAGCGTAGCGTAATCGCCCCGCTAATTTTTTGTCACTCTTAGTTGCAAATATACCTAGGCTTTAACAACATTTGTAAATTTTTCGATCTGGATCAATCGAGCAAGTTAGCTTGTAGCTTTTTCTTTTACATTTTTTATCGTTTCTACTGAGTTGATCGTATTACGCTGGTGCACACGAAATGTTTTCGTAACGAATGTGAACTCTACACGGTATTTGACTTTGGATGAAAGAAAAATCAGATATTAGATTCGTTGATACGCGATTGTGTGGCCACCTATTATACGGTAGAACCTCTATTATTGGAAAATTCCTGCGATAATCGAGGCAAACGACAAAATAAATATTAGCTTTCCCTGCTATTACCCCTAAACTTACTTGTTAGCTTAGAGAATAACTCCCCTTGTCGACGCAACGAACGAGGCTCTCGTGCGATGATCGAGGTTCTACCGTACACATTTGATATGTGTGTATGTGTTTATATGTACATTAAATACGGTTTCTTTTCTCCAGTCGTTTTTCATGAAGCAGTATAGATCTACTTAACTTCGATTGGCTTTTGAAACTGAGATCGTGTACCAAATGTATCGCAGAAAAGAAGAGAAATTCGACCTGGAAGAAATTACGAGTCCTAATGGATTAGACGTTCGAGTCAACCCTTCGACTAAGCAAACATTAATCGACATTGTCTTTGTCTCCTTTACTCTCAACCCAAGTCTTTCTTCCCCCTCAATTACACTTACACTTCTTTTGCAGACTTCGTTCCAGGTCAAGACATAGTTTCTCAAAATGTTTGCAAAATCAGTCCTATTCATCGAGGACACTATTCGTCGCATTTCGTCTACGCCAACTTAATATTCGTCTTCCATTTTTTTTTTCTTTTTTCGTTTTTCTTTTATTTAAACTGCCCCGAGCAACGTGTTTTCTCCCAATACTCGTCCCGGTCTCATCGATCCCCGAAATCACGCCAAATATTCGCATGTTACGCATATTATAATATATAGATACCTACTCGTATTAAGAGGATCATGACAACATATACGTACGCTCATATTAATCGCTATTTTTTACCGACTAGAACGATAAGGTGATGAGAAACGAGATTTTCTCCGAGCGTCGAAGGACAGAACCGACCGCGAGGCGACGTTCTTAGCTGGATAAGTCATCGAAAACATGGAGTAAAAAAACGTAGGTTTAAGTTGTTGCTTGTCGCAATCGCCAAAGTAACCGTGAACCCGGAAGAGCGGAGGCCTCGGGCTGCTCGAGATCACGAAACGAAACTCGTCTTTTCTTGTACATACACACGTTTCGCGCGGTGATCGTCGTCGACGACGTCCGTGTCGCTCCTCGTTTATGTTTCCATTCTGATAATCGCACCTGAAAACCACACGCGTACACGCACTCGGCGCTGAAGAGAGGAAATCGGGGAAGAAACGCGAGAAGCAGCGAAAGGAAGGACGCGGCGGATCCAAATATGGACGATCGAATCTCCTCGCTGCGTTCTCGACGTAAAGAAATCATTCGTTCGACTCGCGAAATTAACGCTCGAGAATCGTGGAGGAACGAACGAACGAAGAAACCGAGCGTGCAAAGCGTCCGCTTCCGTGTAGCAATTTGTCGTGCCTTCTGTCGTGGCTGCTTCCGTCGATTCACGTTTATTTTTATATTTTTCACGTCCACCACTTAACCGTTTCCCACACCCCCTCTGCACTCTTTATCGAAACTACGATCCCCACCTTCCCATCCGGATACCAACCCCATCGAAACTCGTAAAACGCTAAAGTAAAAATCTCTTCGCTATCTCGTACGATTATCGTATTATAATATATATGATATACATATAGCGTAACTTATAACTTTGTACTTTTCCTGTAGATACGACGTAATACTGTCACGTCTAATTTAAACAATAAAATTTACGTTATTAAACCACGTGGTTTGTTCGCAACGTCCAGGAGTCGTCGTGCCTAATCGAACAACTTTTCGGCTTCGTTCGTTTCAAGAGCTGTTTTAGACCCGTCATTGCACTTAGAAGACTCTAAAAAATTTACAAATATAAAACTAGCCATTTTTGTTTCGATGAACGCTCGGAAAATCGTCGCTTTCGAACGTCGATCCAATACGCGTTCCGTGGAACGAAGTCGGTGCGATCAAAGGAGGATCGAGGAACGGCTTTCCAGAATTTCCGGTAATAGACGCGATTAAAGGTAAAAGAGGTTAACCCCCGTGTTGTCGAAAGGGTACCGGGACCAGAAGTTTTCGAAAATTTCCCATAATAACCGGGCAATCATGTAATCTTCCACCCGCGCGTTTTACGGGCCCACCGATTCCGTGAACCCGTAGTTCTAGTTTACGAAACGTTAAACGAGATTTGCCCTCATTACTAGCACCCACTGGCCCCAGGGGGAGAACCAGCAATTTCGAACGGAAGAAATTTATGTATGGCCGAGGAATTAACGCGTCTGACGAAACGCGAACATTGTATACGAAATTGTGAAACGGTATATTAAACGCGCGGTCCGAAAGTTAATGGACGCGGGGGAAGAAGATTGGAACCGATAGAAAATGGACCAATTCGTCGAGTTAACTCTTACGGGGTTATCGGGTCGCTTGTATCCCAAAATCGAAGAACACTTTACTCTCGTATAATGTTTCGTTCCTCGTAATCGTAATAAAGCGATCGATTCTTCTTTGTTACCGTCGAAAAGAGAACCTAAAAACAAGAGACAACCACAAAAATTTAATTCCTGCAACGAAAAGGTAAAGTGTTATTAACCCCTTACCATAGAATAACGTGTCTGACGTTATATGTATATCACGAGGTATTCATGAAACAAATCTATACTTTTTCGTGGCCATTTCTTGTACGAACAAATTTAAACAAAATTAAATAGTATACGTTTGATAAATTTTTTGGAAATAATCGTAAGTCAAGGGGTTAAAATATTCGATCGAAACGTTATTTTGACGTATACTTTCTCTCCAAAAAAAAATTCACAAGTTCTTTGACTCCTATGCCAATGTTTTCTGATAAATCGTTGAGAACAAAGGAATATTCCGTAAACTAGGAATTTATGCTTCGTTTCCTGCCCATTTTTGGACGATTTTGCCCCGCTAGGCGCCGTGGGCCACACGATCTTGGGGTGCAGAGACCCACCCACGAAATTCCTAGGCGGTGGCACTCGTCGATTCGACGAACTCCGGGTTCTCTGTCGGTTCGCGAATGTTCTTGAAATCCTCACCGCGGGCCAGGATCCCTAATTGGCGGATACGCGTCTCGTGGTCCCCGAGGACAAAGGCCGTACCCCTTCCTCCCTGCTTCGGTACCACCTACGATCGGAATGCCATCCCCTGGCAGGCCCGTGACGCGACCGTTGCACAGGCTTCAGGAATGCCCCCCGAGCTGCGACGGTTTCGCGGTAATGTTACGTTTTCGGCGCGAGGGAGGGCCAGTGGTCCCCGGGCCTTGCGAGTCGTGGCCAGGAATCAGCGTCGGACACTCGAACGGGGTGAGTTTCGAATTCTTGCGACCGATTCGTCTGGAAATATTCGATCAACTTCCAACAGGATAATTCCTATTTCTTTTCAATTAAATGGACCTACCATAGTGTTGACAAATAAACTGTTCATCGTGACCAATCTCAGTATCCTACATAGTTATATTTAGCTAACAGTGAAACAATTTTTTAAACGCATACTATTTAATTTTATTTCAATTTGTTCGTACAAAAAATGGCCACGAAAAAGAATTACAAACCTTTACCACAGCAGAAATAATAAAAGAGTTTCAAACGAATGTCCAAAAGTAAAGAGCAGCTAGTTTCAAGCATTATGCATATTACATTTTCTACGTCTTCTAAATCTCCTGTAACTTTGTCATTTTTGCGAATTTTACTTTAATATTTAGGGGGTCATTCTTAAAACCCCAAGCATTGAAAAGAGATAAAAAAAAAAACATTTCATAAGTAGCACGATGTTTGGTTTCAGCAACTGTGGAGGACCACCTGGCTGAGACGTACGTACGAGTCATCGCACCTAAGCGAACAAGGACGAAGGTATCCAAAGAAAAGAGCTCACGAGAAAATAGCAGAGTGATATAATTGGCACGTGCCCCGGAACGATTCCATCAATGTGAAATTATCGAGTGGAACGATTCCGCGATACGTGTTCAACGTTCGAAACGTAATAACAATAATCAGTCGGGCCACGGTTCCGAGAAGAATCCTTGCATTTCGTTCGCTAATCGAGCATCGCAATTAAAAAGAATCGAGGGAAGAACCGCAGGATCGGGACCGTAACCGAAATCACGTAAAAACGGTCTCGCCTATCGGCCACGAACCGGGACGCTTACGGTCGAAAGACTGTTTTAATAGAAGAGGACGCGCGATACATTAGGCTAATCACGTCGTTTAAATAATTCATCGCGCGCGGGGTTATTCAAATTAATAACGTATTACGAGAATCGCCTCCAATCGGGCTCGAATGCGGGAATTGCTTTGTGCACACTATCATTTCGACAGTGGTTCTCCGGGCCTCCTAAAAATTCATTCGCGTGCATTAGCCGTTAAATCTCCGACAATTATATCGATCACTATCATTACCGTCCTTTAAACTTAAACTGTACGCAATTTAACGGAATAATCATCCTATTCTTCGTATCAGTTTCTGTTTACACAGAACTGCTCGTGGCTATATTTTGCACGAAGATTACATGTGATCTTTGATTCTTTCATTATTGCTATTCGTAACGTTTGGGTCTCTTAGGCTGGGTTTTAGAATGTACTACCAAAAAAAGGGCGACTGAGTTTCTTTATAAAGTTTTCTTCGCTTTCTAACGAAGATAAGTAAATATAATTTTCATGAAACGCTTCATCAAAGAAAAGTCTTTTAAAATTGGTGGTTATTTAATACTTTTCGAGAAAAGAAACGTTGAAACAGTGTGTAAGCTTAAACGGAGTCCAGTGAAGGGCGGTAAATCGGTCGGGAGGGCCCCGGAGCGAGGTGCATGCGCACCTCTGCCAATCCAAATCGCATACAAATGAGGAAAGGACGGAGCAAAAGGAAGGGGCCCCGAAAACAGAGAGACGGGCCTTAGCATGCGCCACGTCCCCGAGCGCGTGTAATTATTCTCGGAAGAGCGATTCCGTGGCCGAGGGATGACGATGATAATAATAATTTGAATCGTGCCCACTTAGCATATGTGTAATTTACCGCTTAAGACGATTTCGACGTCCTCGTACGCGGCAGAAGCTCCAACGACGAAGCCAGAAATTCGTAATCACCGACCGCCGGGGGGATGGTGCCCCGGGCGGATTGCCCAGAGACACGATCATCTACCCGGAGTGAAACGCGAAGGAAAACGCGAACAATTTGCGACCGCCTCGCCGAGATGGCCAACGCGTTGCCACACGGGCGAGCACCGGAGACTTCAACGACCGCATAGGCGAGCACGTCTTTCTCTCGACGGACTTTCCACCATAAAAAATTGATATAACACTCCAGAAAATATCTCTCTATTTTATTTCGTGCCGAATTTTATCTTAAAACCGCGAAAAATCTGCGTAAATTCCAAAAATTCCGATTACCACATCTGAATTTTATCAACATGTTCTCTTCAGCTCTCTGGGTGTATTCTGGATTTCTTAGTAAATTTTTAGAAATTAAATAATTTAATAGTGGTATAGGATTAACGACTCGTTGATATGTAGATCGCGTTGTCGCAACCGCGTCGAATTAATCTTCCGTGCCACGAACTTGTAAATAAAACACCGCGAAAAGAATGTAATTACCACGAATATAATATGGCGAAACGCATAATTTCCTCGGCTCGTTCGTCGCACCTACTTAAACCGCCGGTCGTTCCACGAAAAACAAATTTGTTTGTGTTTAAATATGGTGATCAGAAGCGCGAGCAAAGTCTTCGCGTGACAAAACATGATAAACAGTTCGGAAAGGACTCGGAAGGCGGAAAAAACCCGGGTTTCAATGGCCAGGAAAAAAGGAATTGATTGCGGGCCGAGATTATTATAGGTATTTTCGCGATAATATTTGCATGAATTCATAAGCGAACAACCGTCGCGTCAATTTGCTCCTGATCGTGTAACGCGAACACGAAACCAGAGAACGGTTGAAAAGAGATTAACAAAGAGGCACGACGAGGAAATTATAACGAAAAATTATTTAAACATAGTTTCAACGTTGTAAAAGAATAGTAGTTTATAGGAAATTTTATGCTCTTTTGGTTGGTAACAGTCAAATTTAAAATATAATAATGGTTTAGGAAATGTTTACTTTTTTACTGAGGTCGTCTTTTTCCATATTAGGCTCATGGAATAGCATAATATATCGAATTTAGTAGAACTGGATCATTTTTATAAGGCTTAACGTGTTCTATATAATGTTTAAACCAATCAATAATGATATCCATCTGAATCCAATCAGAAGGGTGTGCCTCGAATATGGTTCCATGAGGACCAATCTTTCAATTCATTTTTCCTGTTAATATTAGGTCACCGTGCAAAAATTCAGACTGCACTATTTTCTTCAATATTCTTTTACGAACACGTGTTGCAATAGATGGCAAAATCACAATTCTTTAATATTGCAGTGTTCCATATTAGGGCAACTGACCCTACTTTTAAAAGATCAGCCCCAAATTTCGGAAAGATTATACTTGTTTCGTTGGTGATTTTTCGAGTTTATCATTGGAGCGTTCATTGAAACAGCGAACTAGAATCCCCGCGTCGCAATTAATCAAGGTCGATCACGATCATTGCCGTGTTTCGTAGCCAGAGGGCGAGGGTGGTTCCGCGCCATAAGTCTTTGTAATAGCTAATATCTCACAGAAGTCGTACAAACACGAATTGGTTACTAGTTACTACTTACAT